GAAACTTTCAGTATATTTAACTCGTACTGTCTCCAAAAAATGCTGAAAATTTCAAATTGCTACTTGTAATATCTTGGAAGATGTAATTTTCTAAAAGAAGAGAGCACAGTTGAGTGCAAGCATCGATTTTTAGACTAATATCCCCTAAGCTCGCAAAAAACACGGTTCTGGGCGATTTATGGGAAACTTTCAGTATATTTAACTCGTACTGATGGCAAAAAATGCTGAAAATTTCAAATTGCTACTTACGTTTTCTCGGAAGATTCTAATTTTTAGAAAAAAGAATGCCGTTGAGCTGAAGCATCGATTTTTAAACCAATAATTCTTAAGATCGTAAAGATCAGGATTCTGGGCGATTCATGTGAAACGTTCAGCATCTTTAACTCGTACTGTCTGCAAAAGACGCTGAAAATTTCAAATTGCTACATGTGTTTTCTTGGAAGATGTAAATTTGAAAAAAAGAGAACGCCGTTGAGTGCAACATCGATTTTTAGACCAATATTTCCCGAGCTCGCAAAAATCAGGCTTCTAGGTGATGTATGTGAAACATATGTGTATATTTCAACATCTTTAGCTGCTCCTGTTTCAAGAGATTCTGAAATTTTGAAAAAGCTACTTGGGTTACCAAGTGGAAGATGCAAGTTTTAAAATAGAGGACGCCGATGATTTTTATGAGACTTTCCACATATTTCGAGTGAAGTGTGTTCCAAAGATGGCAAAAATACGATTTTTTAAAGAAAAAGCGCAGTTGGTTGAAACCATTCGCTAAGAGACCCACATTTATCAAACTGAAAAGCTCGAAACGAAAACAACTTGTATTGATCCAAGGTATTTGGTTCGTTTTTAATTAAACTACTAACGAAATGCTTATTTTGGAATTTCCCAATTCCCGAACTTTTCAATAGATTTTCTAGGGCCGCTTTGCGCTACGCGACACGTCCAAACCGGTTTAATTAATATTAGATTGGTCGACTACAAAACAAAAAAAACGATGCGAAACAGATGGAAATATAAATGTCACATCGGCAACTTGAAGAGGAAAATTGCAGAGACAGATTAATTTTCTGGCGCGTCAGCGACGACATCTTTACTTCCGGCGTTTGCTCCTAATGGAGACACTGGTTCGCTTCCATTCTGATATGAGGAAAATCGAAGAGGAAACGTGAAAAATGAACGTCAAGATGGAAAAGACGCCGCTCAGTTTCATGTTATTAAAAAATGGTCGCATTCAAGGTGCTTCAGCAGGATTTATTATAGGTACGGTTTTTGGCAGGGCCAGATTTAACCAATCCGGATACGGTCCTCTTATATTGTTATGCAATAACAGAGAAATGGTCAACAATATACGATTAAAGGCGTGTTAATTTTGGTGTCGGAATAAGCGAACGCCTTAACAGGAGTTACAGTAAAATCGAAGAAACTCGCCAGTCAATTAACACTTTTTGCAACAAATGGGCTAAAAATGGTTATTTTCACATATTAATCTTATAGCTTTCTTGGTAACTCTTCTAGATATCAGCGATCCATCAAGAAGGTTTTCTGGATTACGCGGTGTCCGTTTGCTTGCATTCGTCTGTTTACTGCCTTCAACATACATTTTTTAACTTTGAAGACTTTGCTGCCGATGCCAGAAATTTTCAAACGGATTCCAGCAATCCATACAGAACACTTTTTGTAACAGACCGTACAAGTTTCCTTATATTGGCATCGGCACTGCCTTCAATACGATTTTTTAAACGTTGACAAATTTTCACGAATTCGTCCATTTCTGCACTTTAGTCTTTGAAAGAACCAGTTTCTACCCTCAACAACTTGGGATCCTCAATAAACCTTTTGATTTCTCTGTTACTCAATCATCAAACAAAGTTGATAATTAGAGTTTCAATAGCTCCCAATTAGAAATTCGCACGAAATTTGCAACATTAGCACCTGAAACTTTGGGCTCTATGGGTCAGAATCGTGGCACAATTGAGCTGCATTGCTCGCAAACTGTTCGTTCAATTTGCCGCTTTCGATTTGCAATGTTTAAACGAGCATTGTGGCTTTCAATGTTTACAAGCGCAATTGCGAATTCATCTAGCATGTTTCTGATTAGCCGGTATCCAGAGGTTTGGTGCATTGAATCTCGTTCGTTTTGTAGCTTTTTCCGCTGTTCTAGTAATTGAAAATCCGCATTGCAGAAATTCGTTTAAAATCCTGCGCAGATTATTAACGAAAAATCAGAAAAATTCCAACATTCTTCACAGTCAACAGTGAATTCATCCTGATTCAATGTTCTGCATTGTTTTCGCTCCATCAGCTCTGAGCTGCAGCAAACGCCCTCATCATATTTCTTTAATTATTTGCTTCTTGTGCATTCTTTCTTGTATATATTTCTCTTTCATCTCATCGGGGATTCTGTGAATTATTCTGCTGTGAGCGGAAAATTACTGTCTCGCCATTTAGAGCAACTAATGCGTTTAAAGCGTGTTTGTCGAGTTCGCAAATTAGACGTAATTAAAACCCATTTCTAAATTGAAAACGAATAACTCTTGTAGCCCATTTTCCAGCTGTGCCGAGAAAAATTCCTTTTTGTATTTTCCGGTCGCGTCGCCGAGCCATTCGTTACCCAAATACTAACTTTTCTAGATAATCAATTTCAGCACGTTTCGTTATTGCAAAATATCTGCTCTCATTCCTGTTATTCCGCTTTTAAATGAAGCAACCAAATGGCGATCGATGCAGTGTTTGATGAAATTTTATTACGAATAATTGTTGTTTAATTAATGGCGGCAACATGTTTGGCCGAATTCACCAGGCAATCAAATCATCAATTTACATTTCTGGATTTTACGTTTCAATAAATGATTGTCTGGGTTTATATTTTTATTTTAGCGAGCCGGATAATCAGGGGCGCCCAATCGATGCCGCAATCACGTACAGTGGATTTTCAAGTTTTAAACTTGCCTCTGAAGATGCAAGCCACTCCTGCTTGCGAAACGTCTAGAAGGATCTCGTTTCCATGGCGGCCTAAAAGCGCGAAAAATTCACCAGTTTGAAGCAAAAGCCGCGAAATTTCAACTCTTGATCTTCAACATTCTCTCTAACTCCACTTAAGCAGAAAACAACGTGCAAAATTGAAGAGTTTTTCCTTCGGCGATTCGGCGATTAAAACTAATGGGTGTGATAAATCGACAAGCGTTGTTCCCTAAATTGCAATCGAAAATTCGATAGTACATTAGAAGTGTAGCCGAGTTTACTCGGCTTTTATTTTTAAACTTCATTGGAAACCGCCCAAATTCGTTTCTGTTTCTATAGAATTATATGTTCTTGTATTTTGCTTGGAATTGATTGTGCCGTTGCGATTGCGACGACTTCGCCCAGAAGGATGCCGCATTCAATTCAGTAAGGTTGCAGTCGCTGAGAAAATAGCCGCAAATAGCGCTTAGGGGATGATTCATGAATCTTTTTTTGTTCGCTTCAGGTTAACTGGAACTGCTGAGCAGAACAATGAAGCTTTCGCCCGCAGCCAAATTCAGAACACCATTCCTCCCAATGGTTTGCTGCGAAGTAATATTGCGGCGGTCGAACCATACAATCATGTTCCTTTACAGCAAAATCAACCGATTCGAAGCACTCAAACACAAGACGTAAGTTCACCTTATGTTAGGTTTAAGAGTCATCAGTTCGACTACGGTTTATGTTCGAAAAAAGGCCCCTGGGCTAATTTTATCAGACATTTCTTTTGGATCTGCTATAGTCATCCTCAATAGTTTCGTTATTTTATGAAACAGGGAATAAAGCTTTATTAGTTTTAGTGCAAAAATTTGAAAAATTTAAGCTTTCAAAGCTGATTTCTTCACAAGCAGTAAATATGTCGACAAAGGGATTTCAGCCATCCATAACGAAGGATTTCTTTAACAATCTATCTGCGTTTGATTGTTTTCCCGTCGTCATTGCCTTGAATATCAATTTTTGAACTTTTTTCAGACGAAGTTTCAGTCTTTTCGCCATTTTTGCACCCGTTGATTTCTTCAAAACCAGGCCGAATCTCTGAAAGCCGATTTTAGCGGTCTATAAACCGAGTTTTCTTGAATGCACTATGCGAAGTTCCTTAAATTTCCAGTTGCGGCCGTCAATATAAATTTTTGAACTTTCACTAATTTTCAGTCGTTTGGCTATTTCTGCAATCGAATTTTCAAAGTTGATTTCTTCAAAATTCAGCTAAATACCAGCAAACTGATTCCAGCCGGCCATCAAGAAGGTTTTCGTGAACAAACTCAGCGAATTTTCTTATATTTTCGTAATTGCTGCTGTCAATATGAATTTGTCAACTTTGACTAATTTTCAGTCGTTCCACTATTTTTGCACCCGAATTTTTCAAAGTTGATTTCTTCAAAATCAGGCCAAATATCAGCAAACTGTTTCCAGCAGTCCATAAAGAAGGTTTTCATGAACACACTGTGGGAACTTCCTTATATTTCCACAGTTACGGCCGCCAATATGAATTTTTGAACTTTGACGAATTTTCTATCGTTTTTCATTTCTGCATGCGAATATTTCAAAGCCGTTTTCTAAAAAATCATGCCAAACATTAGCAAAATGATTGCAGCCGGCCATAAAGAAGGTTTTCGTAAACACTCTGTGCGAACTTCCTTATTTTTCCACAGTTGCGGCAGTCAATATGAATTTTTGAACTTTAACGAATTTTATGTAGTTTTCCATTTCTGCACCCAAATTTTTCAAAGCTGTTTTCTTAAAAATCAGGCCAAATATCAGAAAAATTATTCCAGTCGTCCAGAAAGAACGTTTTCCGTAATACACTGTGCTAGTTTCCTTATATTTCGTCCGTTGCTACCGTCAATATGGATTTCTGTCGTTTTTCATTTCTGCACGCGAATCTTTCAAACTGGATTTTGTAAAAACCCCGTCTGCTATCAGCAAACTGGTTTCTACCATCCATGAAGAAGTTTTTCCTCAATGCAGTGGGCACATTTCCTTATATTTCTACTGTTGCTACCATCAATATGAATTTTTAAACTTTGGCGAATTTTCAGGCGTTCGGCTATTTCTGAACTCTATTCTTTCAAAGTCCATTTTTTCAAAACCCGGTCCGCTATCAGCAAACGGGGTTCCGCAATGCATAAAGAAGGTTTTCGTTAATACACTGGGCGAATTTCCTTGTATTTCCGCGGTTGCGGCAGTCAATATGAATTTTTGAACTTTGACGAATTTTCAATCGTTCGGCCATTTCTGAACCCTGTTCTTTCAAAGTTGATGCCTTCAAAACCGGACCGAGTATCAGAAAACAGATTTCAGGAGTCCATAAGGAAAGTTTTTCTGAATGCACTGTGCTAGTTTCCTTATATTTGCATAGTTGCTACCGTCAATATGAATGTTTGAACTTTGACGAATTTTCAGTCGTTTAGCCATTTCTGCACGCGAATGTTTCAAACTCGATTTTTGCAAAACCGGATCCTCTAGCAGAAAACGGGTTTCCACAATCCATAAAGAAGGTTTCCCTGAATGCAGTGTGCAAGTTTCCGTGTATTTCCTCCGTTGCTACCGTCAATATGAATTTTTGAACTTTGACGAATTTTCAGCCGTTTGACCATTTCCACACCCAAATTTTTCAAAGTCGATTTGTTCAACACCCGCCCAAAAATCAGCAAGCGAATTTCAGGTATCCATGAAGAAGGTTTTCCTCAATTCACTGAGCAAGTTTTCACATATTTCCTTAGATGCTGACGTCGACATGAATTTTTGAACGTCGACCGAATTTTCAGTCGTTTAGCCATTTCTGCCAAATCTTCCAAAGTTGATTTCTTCCAAACCCGGCCGGATATCAGAAAGCGGATTTCAGCAATCTATAGCCAAGGTGTTCGTTAACACTCTCGGCTAGTTTCCTAATATTCCTATAATTATTTCGTGGAATATTAATTTATCAACTTCACAAATTTTCAATAATTCGGCCATTTCTGCACACGAACATTTCGAAGTCGATTTCTTCACATCCAGGCCAGATATCATTCAAAATTGGCTTTTGCCGAAAAAATCTGCTGTTAGTACGAAAAGCATCCGAAGCAAATGCGCTCAGGCGGGTTAAACCGTGAAGGAAATTCATCCCAATTGAATTACCAATCCAGACTTGACATGCAGCCAAAATGGGGGCGAATAGTCAAATGTAGCGAGCAAACAATTAACGTTAAATAATTGAAACTGGCAATAATGTGGAATTTTGCGGCTGTTGCGTAATAATCATGAGACGTAGAGCAGGAAATTTGAGTGCTCGCCCAAGAAAAGACAACTTTCCGTATTTGCCCGTGCTGAAAATAGGAAAATTAATAACCGCCAGTTCGAGCTAAAATTTCAAACGTATGTTTACTAAACGATTTTTCCCTGGGGAGAAAATAGCAAAAAGCCGTGAGCATTTTTTAATGTCGTGTTATTTCGCTTAGCAGCCACTTTCCATATTGCCAGTTTCTTTGCGCGTCTATGATGGAAAAACCACCCGCTAACATTCCCGGTGTTTTTGGCAACAATTCAGCAAACGGCATATCATCCGGCATATCAGCAACATATCAAACTGGAACCCAACAACGATGTCCAAGAACAATTGGCCCACAAGATGGCCAATGTCTACATTCCGCGAAACGACGACGACAATCTGAAGGAATTCTCCGTATCGAAATCAGACCCCAAATATCAAACATTGCCTTACAACACCAAGTTCACCGTCAACCTGCTGACCAACAACAAGAACCTGAAGAACGACCACAACAGCAACGAGAAAGACGACAGTAACTACATATCAAATGCAGTCAACAGCAATATGAACAATGTCATCCAGGCGGCGCATATGATGGTGCACAGCGCCCCACTCAGTCAAGTAAGTCAGCTACAGCCCCGTCTAGTTGCAGCTGTAGTTGTGTGGTCGGTTTCAGGTGAACAAGAACATTGCGACGCCGCTGAATCAACACGACTTGATCAGTCGCAAGAACAGCGACGGAAAGGACCAGAATCTTTTCTCCAACGGCAACCATGCCAAGGAGGAGCTGATTGTCCGGTCCAACAAGTTCCAGAACGAACAGCACACATATCCAAGCGCCAACTCCGCGTCCACATATCAAGTAGTAAACGCAAAAGTGGTAACCTGAATTTTAAAGAAACTCGACTAATTTTTCCCGCAGAAGCCAATTAGTAGCGTAGCGCCCACTTCGATCCACCACTCCAACATTCCATCCACAGTCTACCAGACGTCGTCAATCAAAGTCCAGCCAGTGGAGCCTCAAACCATCACCACCACGACCAAACCACCTTCTTCGGTCTACCAGGGCAACCAAACTCTCCCGTCGCCGCAGGGCAGTGTTCTGTCGCCACCCCAATCAACCAGCACTCCCTTATCAACCCCCGAGGTAACTGAAGAGCTCTCAACACCAAAACCTGACCCAATTTGCTCACATTCTCATATACTTCTCCAGGTGTCTCATGACAGCACCCCAAAACCAGCGCTGCCTCCTAAACCTGCGATCAAGCCGCCCCCCAGACAAACGCAGATCTTCACTGAAGATCCCGCCACCAGACCGCCGCCCTTGCCCCTGACAGAACCACCTGAAGACAAATCGTCGCCTCCTGTGGGAGCCAAGCCGCCCACTCAGAAGCCTCCCAGCAGCGAAAGTGCCACTAAAAGCGCCTCGGGGGCGCCGCCCCCTCAATCTGAAATGATCATCAAGCCGAAACCGCTCAACATCAAGAAACAGCAGCTTAGTGAGCAACCGAAGCTGCGCAGCCTCAGCTCCAGCTCCAAGCTGAATGGCTTGATCTTGAGCAACCGGCGAATCGAGTTACCGCCAGTCTTTCATCCTTATGCAGAGTCGCAGGTGGGTTCCACCAAAACGAAACTTGCAGGAACTTAGCAACTAATTTCCGAACTCCTCAGCAGCAGTCGGCAGAGAAGCAAGAGACTGCTCAGCTTCAAGAAAAGGAAGTCTCCAAGGACGAAACTGATCGAAGCTCCAAATCATCAGTGGACGAAACCAGTAGCACCGACTCCAAAGACCTGAGGGAGGACAACGTGATCAGAAGAATAAAGAAAGGCAACTTGAAGCAGACGGGCAAGCACAACTTGTCCAGAAGAGTCAGCTTCGACCCATTGGCCCTTCTGTTGGACGCCAGTTTGGAGGGCGAGTTGGAACTAGTGAGGAAAACGGCCACTCAGGTGAGTTCAGACTTGGAGAAACCATGAACCTTCTTTGAACTGAGTGGGGGGTTTCAGGTGACCAATCCGAGCGCAGCAAACGATGAAGGCATCACAGCCCTGCACAACGCGATTTGTGCAGGACACATTGAAATCGTGAAGTTCCTGGTGGAGTTCGGGTGCGACGTGAATGCGCAGGATAGTGATGGCTGGACGCCCCTGCACTGCGCAGCCAGTTGCAATAACCTGACGATGGTCAGGTTTCTGGTCGAGCATGGAGCCTGCATTTTTGCTACCACGTTAAGCGACCACGAAACAGCGGCGGAAAAATGTGAGGAAGACGAAGAAGGGTTCGATGGATGTTCGGAATATTTATATAGTAAGTAGGGGCAAATCTGGTTCTCAAGGCCCTTGAGCTGAAGCCTTGGGGATAGGTGAGAAAGTTAGGTTTTGATCAATCCGGGCTTCCCTGTATTGAACATCAGATTTTTTTCGTTTTTGAAAGTTTGCACTGTACAGAGAACACTCGCTCTTGTAGTGCACATGCAGCGGAAGTTTCGATTTTTTTCCATCATCAGGGTTTTTTGGTAGAATGTTGCAAAAGTCCCGTTTTATGCCCGTTTTTGTACGACTTTCTTTGAAAATTTGTTGCTCAAAAACTAGTTGAGATTGGGACTGAAGGTTTGCATTGAGTAAAGGAAACTAGACTTTATTTTCACTGAAAGTTTTAATTTCTGGGCATCTTCAGGGTCTTTTGTAGAAATTCGCAAAAAATACCCATTTTTATGGACGTTTTTTTGTACTATTTTAAAAGCTCCAAACTCTTAAAAACGCCTTTACGTACTTTGAAAGTTTCAGTTTTTCACCGTCATCAGGCATTCGTCTGGAAATTTGCGCGTACGTAGTTTTTACGTGCGTTTTTGACGACGTTGTTTGAAAATTCATCACAAAAACCAGATAAACTTGAGCCACCCGGAGGCCTCAATTGAATAGACAAAAGACAAACACGCTTTTGTTTCCACTAAAAGTTGCAATTTCTGGGAATCTTCAGAGATTGTTGGAAAAATTTGCGAATCGGACCCATTTTCATGCGGGTTTTTGTACGCCCTTGACTGGAAACTCATGACACAAAAATCTTGTGATACGTCGTGGTATGTCTGAATTTTTGCATTGAGAAGAAAAATCTCGCCTTTCCATTTGCAGATAAGTTTCAATTTTTCGGCTCTGTCAAGACTTTTTGTTGAAATTTGCAAAAATTACCCATTTTTTGCGCGTTTTTGTACTAGTTTGTTTGAAATTTCATATCTCAAAAACCTGTTCATATTGGCACTTCTGTAGATCTACATTCAATAAAGAAAACTAGCTTTTATTTTCGCTGAAAAGTTTATTTTTAGTACGGTTTGGCTTGATGATAAAGGACTCGCTTTTCCTATTGCAGATAGATTCAATTCTTCGCCACTGTCCAGGATTTTTACAGAAATTTGTATGCGAGTTTTTGTACAACTTTGTTTGCACAGACAACACAAAAACTTATTATGACTGAGAATTCTGAGCGTTTGCATTGAATAAGTGGGACTCGCTATTCCGGTTACAGAAAGTTTCAATCTTCTCGCACTATCAGTGATTTATGTAGAAATTTGCAAAAATTCGACAGTTTGACGCGCGTTTTTGTATCAGTTTTTTTTTTATTCAGTACTCAAAAGCCGGTTAATATTAGACATTCTGATGTTTTGCATTGGATAGAAAAAACTCACCTTTTCAGCAGAATTGTTTAATTTGTCACCATTGTCAGGGATTTTTGCAGAAATTTGCGAATGTGACCCATTTTTTTACGTGTTCTTGTACGACTATTTGAAAATTCATAACACATCATCCTGGTGAGACTGCGATTTCTGAAGGTTTGCGTGGAATAAATGAGACTCGCTTTTCCGTTTCCAGAAAGTTTCAAGTGTCCCGCACCGTCAGCGATTTTGGTAGAAACTGGCAAAAATACCACGGTTTTATGTCAATTTTCTTTAAATTCATAACTCAAAACCCTGTTAATCTTGGGAATTCTCATGTTTTACATTGAATAGAAAAAAACTCGCCTTTCTATTAGCAGAAATTTTCAATTCGTCGTCATTATCAGGAATTTTTATACTAATTTGGAAAAATGGCGAATTTTAATACGCGCTTTTGAACTACTAGTTGTTTGAAAACTCATAACACAAAAACATGTTGAGATTTAAACTTCTAAAGGCTGGCATACAGTAGCTTCATTATTTAGAAAGTTGGAAATGTTCTGCATTTTTATCAATTTTTATAGAAATTTCCGAAAATGGTGCATTTTAGTGCGCGTTTTTGCAAAAGTCTGTATGAAAATCCATTAGACAAAAACCTGTTGAGACTGAGCTTTTGTTTTCCTTGAAAGTTTCAATATTTGGGCATCGTCAGGAATTTTTGTAGAAATTTGCGAGTGACCCATTTTATGCGCGTTTTTGTACGAGTTTGTTTGAAAATCTATAACTCAAAAATCAGGTGAGATTTACATGTCCAAACATTTGCACTGAATAAAGGAAACTCGCTTTTACATGCAGTGAAAGTTCCAATTTTTTACCGTCATCAGGCATTTGTCAGGAAATTTGCAAAAGTAGACCTTTTCATGCTCGCTTTTGTACCAGTTTCCTTAAAACGGTGCATGAAAAGCGTTTAACTGGACAAATTGCTTCAAATGAAAAAAAAATCTCGCACTTAAGCTTTTTTATCGGTTCAAAACATCCACCATCGTCCGGGATTTTAAATTAACGATTCATAACTCGCCTAATTTAGCACGAGTTTCTTTAAAACTGAATTTTCTTAAAATACATAGAACTTTAGATTCTTAAAAAGCTTCGTTGAATAGAGCAACGTCACATGCTTGAAACCATTTTCCATTGCAAATTGACCATTTCTTATGACATTTCTCGCATGTACATCCTCAAAAAAAATATATTTCAAAAACGAATCAAACTAAAGTGTTCTGAATGGTGGCATTTAATGCAGAAAAGCCCCGTTTATAAGCGTTGAAAGTTTCGATATGCCGCCATCCTCAGTGCTCGTTGCGCACATTTTTAAAACTGGCAATTTTTCCAATTAGCATTTTCACGTTGTCGTTGTTGTAAAATTAATTTCAACAGTACCTTGACAGCTTGAATAGGCTTTTGAAAAACCAAACTCATCAACTTGTAGACTTTAGGGTGAATTAGGCACCTAATAAACAATGTGGTAAATTTTCAGGTGTACAGGAAAAATTAGGAATTCTCAACGGGGGCACAGTTTACGCAGTGTTCGACTATACAGCCCAACAGCCCGACGAGCTCACATTCAGAGCAGGCGAACAGTTCACGATTTTGAGGAAAGGAGACGAAAATGAGAGAGAGTGGTGGTGGTCGAAATTAGGAGATAAAGAAGGATACGTGCCCCGAAACTTATTGGGGGTAAGTTCAGAGGAAAAGCACTCGACTACAGGAAAACTAATCGAAAACTCATTATGTTTCAGCTCTATCCGAGGGTCCAGAAAAGCGAAGACAACTAGTAGAATATACTATTTTGGATATATGCAAACACATGTACCTTTTTCCTGATTTAAATATAAATAGATAGAATTTTCCAATTTCTAAGCACAAAGCACCGATTGAGTATTGCTCTCAAGTACTTGGATATGAATTTTCATCCTGTTGATTGTAACGTTGAAGTGGCACTGGTGCTTGACTTGTTTTGTTAAAACTTGAAAAAAGCATTCCACTTGAGCCACTTCAACCGAGAAGCAATAACTGTTCACACACAAGGCAGCATTAAAAAAATGTCTGTTATGATGCAAAATAAATCAAAACTTCTGTATTGTTAACATAGTTAATTTTGAACCTTGGCTCAATATAGCCCCTATATTGTTTTAGTTAAAGGTTTGGCAGCGTATTGTTTCAAATGCACGTGAAAGTCCATATCAAAGAGAAGTTATTCATACATGGTTAGCTTTATGTTATAGTGCAATGAATCAGTCTTTAGTAGTTTAAGTTAAAGGTTTGTAATGTAATTTTTGTCCTCTACAGCTTAATTGTATTATTGTAATATTTGCTTTAATATATTTTCGATTTATGTAAATATATACATATGAAGAATAAAGTCTATTTACAATTACCACTGGGGTTTCATTGCCATGTGTTCCCAAAACAAAAAAAACACGGTTGTTCAAAATGTATATTATAAAAAAAAACTGTAACACTAACAAGCCTTACACATGTAACGAATGAGATGCAGACACCTTACGGCCTACTTCCAGAAGACTAATTCTCTAAGAATCCTCGACATGTTGAAATGCAGTGACTGAACAAATTTGGGGGCTTAGTGAGGGCCGTATTGTACAATCACAGTTGATATCTTAGACACTAAAGGTGTGGAAATACGAAATATTGAACTGAAATCACATGACTAGTCCACTTTGTCGGTTGGTTTTGTTTTGGGCTTGTCCCCATCCGAGTACGCCCGATAAATGTACATCCCCAATGCAATGTGGAGCACAACCACGGCCAGAACGGCCGACCAAACGTTGCTGGCTGTACTTGAAATCCCTAGAAGCCCTAAGACAGCCAGAACAAATTATTTCAGCTTATTTGCCTCCGTCACACGACCTACCTTCAAAGAACAGGAACTTGGTGACAAAAAACGCTATGACTGGCGAAGCTAGAATGAACGCTGAATAAGCTAGCACTGTTTTAAAAACCGTAAACTGAGGCTGCTCCATGTTTAACTTGGACGAAAAAAACTTTGACAAAAACTATTAACCTATCTTTACGTGTTTTTATGCCAATCACAAGTCAGAATCAGCTGTAGATGACAACTGAGTTTACCTGGATTACAGATCCCGTAGATGGTTAACAAGATGCAAAGTGCTGCCACCAGATGGTCAGAGGAGGTGTGGAAAAAACATAAAATTGATATAAAAAAATATATTTAAATTTTAGAGGCCAAGTTTTAGGAAATCAAGGAGCTAAAACCGAATTGATTCAATTTTTTTGCAAAAAAAATTTAAAATGAATTAATTTTTTAAATGTTTTTTTATTTTTTTTTGTGTAATTAATTCCTTTAAAATTGTTGATGGCAAGCCAAATGGTAAAGGACGCCAAAGAAATTTGCCGTCTTTAGGCAGTTTTCTGGAAATTGGAAAGTTCTAACGGTTTGAATTCAATAGAGAAAACTCGCTTGTATATTTACGAAAAGTTTCGACGTTACCGCATTCTCAGACTTTTCTACAGAAATATGTTAAAGTGACCCGTTTTTATGAGCACTTTTGTAGGACTTACTTTAAAAACTTTTAACTTGAAAACCAATGAAGATCCAGACTTCTAAATGTTGGTGTTGAGTAAAAGAGACTCGCTGTTAGTTGCAGTGAAAGTTTCAAACTTTTTCCATCTTTAGGTGCGGCGACCCATTTTTAGGTACAGTTTTGTACGAGCTGATTTTAAAGTTTCTAACTTCAGACTTTTATCGGTGTCCATTCAATGGATAACACTCGCTTTTATATTCACTGAAAGATTAAATTGTTCCAAATTGTCAGGGATTTTTGTAGAAAGCGAAACTGCCCATTTTTAAGCGCCTTTTTGCACGACGTTATTTGAAAATTCATAAGCCTTAAACCAAACGGGATCCAGACTTCTAAAAATGTGCGTTGTATTAAGAATACTCGCATTAACGTGCAGTGAAAGTTTAAAAATTTTACCGCCTTCAGACATTTTTCTGGAAATTTGCATGACTTGCTTTAAAAACTATAATTTGAAAACCAATGAAGATCCCGACTTCTAAAGGTTTGAGTTGTATAAAAAACCTCGCTTTAACACGCAGTAGAAGATTCATTTTTTAACCGCAATTAGGTCTTTTTCTGGAAATTTTCAAATTTGGTAATTTTAATTCGCGCATTCGTATGACTGTTTGAAAATTCCTAACTCAAAAGCTAGTAAAATTTGAAAGTTGTAGCGGTTGGCATTGACTAGAGAAAACTTGCTTTTATATTTACTGAAAGATTAAATGTTTGCGCTTTGTCGGGCATTTTTGAAAAACGTTGTAAAAGTGACCCAATTTTAGGCGCATTTCTGTACGACTTGCTTTGAAACCTCAACAATCAATAAAGATCCAGACTTTTAAAGGTCTACATTGTATAAAGAAAACACGCATTAAGTGAAAGTTTCAAATTTCATCAAGTCATCAAGAATTTTTCCTAGAAATTTGCAAATATGATCCATTTTAATGTTCGATTTCGTCCGGATTTGCTTGAAAATTGCCAACTCAAAAAGAAATTAGGGCAAATGCCCTATTTTGATGAGCGACTTTATATGGCCAGCTTTGAAAATTCATACCTCAAAAACCAATTGACATGCAGAATTCTAACGGTTCCAGTTAAAATAGACAACACACGCTCTTACTTTAAACGAAAAGCCTTTTCTTTACATTTTAACAGATTTTTTCCTCGGGAATTTATTTTCACCCCATTATTGTTTACATCCTAACAGATTGTTCTAGAAACGCCTTGTTTGCCTAGGAAACGTTTAAGACGCCTTGTCAATAAAACCGCTGTCTCAACCGCTTGACTTTGGGTGTTCGAAGCGCAATAATGGCCAAAGCAAACGTGCATTTGTGCGATTTGAAGCAGGATACGTTTGGGTTGCCAAAATTGCCGCCAAACGCTTCTTGGTACCGGAAGTTCGGTAGGCGATTGAGGAAGTTTCTCACGCTGAACCCGAACTCCACCAGTGCGAAGAGGTTCTTCCGAAATCGATCGACGATGATCAGTGAGCAAAGAAGACACTTGCAAGGTGCTTCCTTCATTATTCATCCGTTCAGCAATTTTAATCGAGTGAGGGAAACGGTTTTTTGCATTCTATGGATAATGGAAATGATTATTTCGCCCATTTACATGAGCTTCGTCCATGTGGAAATGGTAAGATTTTGTTTATCTAGTTTTAAAGGCGAAATTTATGGATTGAAGTCAAGTTTTTTAGTGAGAAATTGTCATTTAGTTTAAAATGACAACGCTTTTACTTCCATGCCAACATCCATTTCCGACACTTGTCTAAATTTATTGCTTTCCAAATTTTTGAACTGGAAATTTGCCATTTTTTTATTGAAATTTCCAGGTACTTTTTGTTCTAGAAAATATTCATTTGAAATAATTTTTTCTCCAACTTCGAGCTTCAGGCAGAAAATTTCTACTTGCATTTGCACTTCGAACTTTACCTAGAATTGAAGGATTTGGATTCCGAAATGCAATTTTAATGCAAAATTGGATTTCCTTACCTGGGAGTTCCATTACCATTACAGTTCAACAATTCGACTTTTAATTCAAAATGTCGACTGAACTCAAGAATTAAAAACTTTAATCAGAAAATTGCAACTTTGCACTAAAAAATTCTCCACACGAAATTCATATTTTTGAATTGTAATTTCGATCTATATTTTTTTGTTTTACAGTTTTTGGCTTGGATCAACATTTTGTTTTTCGACAACTGGTTTGAAATTAAATGTATATAATTGGAAATTGCGCAACGGAACCTCTAGCTTTTGAGCCAAAAAACTCGACTTTAAAATCAAGACTCCAGCTTTCAATTGAAATTATAAATTATAACTTTTAGGAGCAAATTTTCCGAAATCTTTAGAAATTTCGACTTCGATATAGAGATTTCAATGCATCTCTAAAATCGAGTTTTGCCTCAAAACTAAACGTTCACCGTAAAATTTATTTTTTGAAAACATGAAACCAGCAATTTTCGTGTTTGAACTCGCGCACAGTTTGGGGCTGAAAATTGCACTAGAAAAGTGAATTTTTCGACTTTGAAACCGGAATTCCCTTTTTTAACCAAAAATTTGAGATAAACATCATTCTTCTCTCGTCTTGTTACCAATATTTTGATTTTGAAATTCACATTTTTGCTTCGTATATCCTACTATTGACGATCTCAAAATGTCGACTTTCATCTGGAATTTTTCTCGAATATTCGGATTTGGATTCTAAAATCCCACTTTTAACGCACGGTTTGGATATGGATGTTTGTAATCGGAAATTGGATGAAAAGAAATTTAACTTTTCGGCTTTGAACTCGGAATTCTATATGATCACCGAAAATTTGACAGATTGAGATTTCAGCATTTCGATATGATTTCTTTCAAGATAAAATTTATCTTTTCCTGATTCGTTTGAAGGACAAGTTGCTTTCAAAGGGAACCGCTCGCACTTTGCTGCGAAATTCCAGTTTTGACGAGCGCGTAAATTCACACTTTAACGTCGACTTTCCAATAACAATCTCAGTGTGAGTCACTGGTTTGATGAACGGTTTGTTGATGATTTTGTCTTCATTTTTTTCTCGTTTCTCAGCTGACAAATAATTTTTCAAAATTGGATTTTTTTTATCAAATTTAGACTTTTTTGGCCATTTCACCATGAAATTCGAGTTGCTCTTGGAAACTTCGCCAGGAACAAAAACTTTTAACTCGAATTTTCTGATTTGCATTCCGAATTCTGACTTTTGAGCTGCAGATGTTCCGAACTAGAAATTGGGCGACTGAAAATTCAACTTTTGAACAAAAAAAAATCGGATTCAAATAGCATTTTTATATTTAAATTACATTACATTTACAAAATATTTAAATTTTGAGCACAGGTTCCTACTCTAAGCTAAATAAGTTACCCTAAAATTGATTCTAAAAAGGAAGCTAAAAAGTGTATAAAATGTCCCTTAATTTTTCGTCAAATTGCGCTTTTTTTGTTGTAGAAGTTGGAGTTTTGCGCACAAAACTCCAACTTCTACCGGGACATTTCAATTTCAAGTTTGGTGTCAAAATTCTGTATCCGAACTTTTGTATCCAGCTTTTAGGACAACTTAATTTCAGAATTTCGGACTCAAAAATTTGTGTTGTTTGTGAATTTTTTACTACTAGACTAAATCTTTTTCACCGAAAATAGTAACTTTTGCCTCGAGATTTGAAATATCCGAAAATTAGATTATCCCGAATCCCTACGCTGAACCGGAGAAATTTCGATGCCACACTGGAAATGTATTGTTTAAACTCGAAACATCCACTTTAAACAAAATTGAAATTGTAGATTTATTTCCCAAATTTTCAAGTGTTCTATTTTTGCATTGAAATATCGACCTCAATCTGAGATTCTGAGTATTTTACTGATTTAAAAGGAAAATCAACATTCATCCCGAAATTTCAACTTCAAAACACAAGGGGCCTTGAATGAAAGAATCACCACTTTTGCCCCAAAAAGATGAAATTGCGGCTTTATCTTTCCATAAACCCCTAGGAACCTCCTCCAACAAAATAACAATTTTCTGTTACATTTTTAGATTTACTACACCCGAGCACACAAGGAAAAATACCATTATGATCCATTCTTCTTCTTCTACACGAATGTGCTTTCGCCTTTAGAAGCATGTTGCGCTGCCATGTTCTTCTTCACTGGCTACATAAATACGAAAACCAAGGAGATCGTCATCCAGCCAACGAAAATCTGGAAAAAATACCTCTGCACTTATTACATCATTGACTACTTGATGAACTTGAAGTTTGGAATCTACACGGAGATCACACGGTTTATGTACTTGATAAACATGACTTGCATGCTGAGGCAAAGTTTCCCGAACATTCTCAGTTCCAACTTCCCGACTGATTTTTTTGTTCCATTCCAGAGCTGGAACTGTGTTTAACTACTTGAAGGAAATTGTGCTCAATTGCAGGATGCGCGAAGAGGTTCACGATTGTTTGCGACTGTTCGTCGTCACGCTGATCATCCTGAATTCGTTCGCGTGCTTCTACTATTACATCCCCTGGATTATTGGCGGCGAGAATTTTCCAGAATATTCCTGGTGAGCTGAATATTTCCAACTTTTTCCGACGGTAAAAAACGGTCGGTTGCAGGCCTGTTCGCGTGAACGTTTCCCTAGGAAATAACATTCCCATGCTCAAGGCTTATACCGAATCAATGCTTTGCGTTGTGTGCCATTTCTTTGGGGCTGGAGAAGGGCTGCATGGAACCGATTTGAGGGACGGACTGCAGAAGTTGATGCTGGTAATTGTTATGATATCAGGTGAGCCTCAAGCAGATGAATGAGAGATTGAACAATGAAGAACTGGGGAAGTTTAGGTAGAGTATGGACGCTTTATGTCATCGCCTGCATCTTGAAGATATTCAGCGTGGTGACCATTTCTGAGAGCAAATATGAGGAGTATCTGCTGCAGCTGGAGGTTTTCATGAGGCAAAAGCGGCTGCCCCAAGTGAGTGATTTTGAGGATTTTTCAGCTGAAAGCCTAAACCCTTATTAGGTGTTAAGGAGCCGCCTGTTGGAGTATTACCGCTACAAGTACCAAAACCACTTCTTTAACGAGCAGGCGATTTTCGCCACTCTTTCAGCCTATTTGAGACAGGAGCTCATGCTTTACGGGGCTAGAAAGTTGATCACTAAGGTGGAACTATTCAGGGCTTTTCCTCGAAGCGTAGTGGGCGCCATTATAGGAAATGCGCGGCAGATTGTGTACCTTCCGAAGGATTTTATTGCAAAACGCGGTAAGCTTAAACCCAGAAAACTATTGATTCTTGGCTTCAGCTCCGGGTGTTTCAAGGGGATGTTGCCGATGAAATTTTCTTCATTTCATCCGGCACTGTCGCCTTAACCAACCTGGATAACGAAGAGCTGGCGCACCTGGAGGATGGGGATGAAATCGGGCTGATTGGTGCCTTCACAGCCAACCCATACATTTACAATTACAACTATTTTGCCGTTGAAACCACTGAGGTTTACAGTATAAGCAAAAAGGAGTTCAGGTAACAAGAAGCTAATAGTCTTAAGAACCTCAGGAGATCCTAGGGAGGTTTCAGGGCATTGATCTTTGACCAGGAGGATTTGCTGAAGTATTTTTCCAAAAAAGTGCAGGAAAAAATCGCCAACTATCGAAGCGTGGAATTGAGCTATCAAGTGCACGGTTACGATCTACTTTCCGAGCTGAGCAGTGGGAAAATCCTCGAAAGGCCCCGACTAAGGCCAACTCATTTTGAAAATTACTTTTAGTAGGTTTTAACCAAATAAGCTCATAGTTTTCAAAGGAAATGTTGTGAAGGTTTCAATAAAATATTACGCCGTCACGTTAAACCCTTTAAGCGTACAATCGGGTAACCAAACATCATTATATCCGAGTTATAACCATTCCTCCCCATCGATCAAATCGGCTCCAGTGAGGAAATGCGTCCCATAAGACCGCTTAGCGTCGGTTGGCGTCGCTTTTTGATTTATGCCCTCCAAAGACGCACCCGAACAGCTCACGATGGGGTGTGAATGTTAACTAACTGGCTAAATTTTTTCCGGAATTTAATCGCTATCATTTCGTTCGATGATTAGAGCCATTTGTTAACCGAAGACCCGGGCCTGTTGTGAATGCTAATTGAGGATTGCGGGAAAAAAATCAGCTTTTACAAACACATTTTTGTGTTGTTTTTTCAAAAAGCGATGACTGTCAGACGTTTATTATATTTATATATTTGATTTACTACAACTGGCCCTTATCTCAAACGTTAAATCTGCTGAGATAAAGGTAATTGTGTCGGCTTGTTTTAAATTTCGGTTTATACAAGTTTATCCGGGCATAAACTAGATCCCTTTATTCTTTTTAGACATCATTTGTGGCATTCGCTGACGTCCCAAATCCTACGTCGTATATAAAATTCAGACTAGAATAACAGACTAATTTATACTTCCAGTTGCTTTCTTTTGATTACATGCAAGCGACTGGGTCGGTTTACTTTCACAGCTATTTCCAAAAAGCGTCGTACAGATAGACAGAACAGAAACAGAAGGAAAAGTCCTGATTTTTGTACACAAAATTAATTTTAGGACACAGAATTAAATGACTAATTTCACAAACACACCTTCCTTAAGAAACTGTAACTTTCAGCAAAGATCAAGTAGAACCTTGCAAATTTTACTATCTATAAAAGAATCTTTAATTTCTTACAATTTAATCGACATACTGCACAATTCAGCCTAAAATTTCACACACATACGATTTTCTTTAAAAAATCGTAACTTTCAATCAAAACGAAGTAGCATTTTTAAATTTTCCCGATATATGGAAGAAACTTACATTTTTACGTCTGTGAAATTTCAATAAAATCACGTAAAATCCTGATTTTTGCTAAACAAACCCATGGAGGCATAAAATAACTAATTTCACACTTACATAATTTCCCTTAAAAATTGTAACTTTCAACAGAGCTGAAGCAGAAAGTTGAAGTTTTCACCGTCTATAAAAGAGATCTGAATCTTTAAGCCCGTTAAATTTGATTAAAACCGCGTTAAATTCAGATGTTTGCTAAACAAATACACTCTAGCCTAAAATGACCAATTACACTCATGTAAACGCGTTTCTTTAAAAAATTATAATTTTAAATCAAGAATAAGTAGAATTTTTAAATTTTTCCCATCACTAGAAAAAAGCTGCATCTTTAAGTTTTAAAAAACCTCGCAAAATCCGGACTTTTGCAAACCAAGTCAGTTGACAACGATTGGCTTGATCAGAATAAAAATTAAGTAATTCTTAAAATTTTGCCGTATAACCTAAGACCGGTTAGGTCTAAGAACAAAACTTCTGAACAAACTCAACCACACATTTAAAGGTAAACTATGAAATTGAGAAAAAAATGGGAGGTTTTATTTGAAATAGATAAGCATGTTATTAAGACAAAAAAAACATGGAACTTTGCAGACACACTGAGCGGTTTACACAGAAATTTTCACAAACTGAAACATAGCAGAGTGTAGATGTAAAAATCCCAAATTATGCGACTTACAACAATGACACAAAAAGTTAAGCGAACACCAACAAGAAGCAGAAATAAACGCTCAAAAATGCGCGAAAAATCCGCACAAAAATTCACAGTACAACTTCAAGCCATTACCTTAAATACAACACTTCAAATGAAGGCCCTGGATTGTCTACTGTGAAACTACAAATTCATACGCAAAGTGGTGTTTGGATATGTAAATACGATAATACAGTTTCATTAAACGTAAATACATGGGCCCTAAACGGCTTTCGACGCCTTCCTAACATATGCCCCCATGATTATGTCGTAAAAAGCCGCAGGAAGCGCTTGATGGCACGTTTGGCTCCGCTACTCGGTAACGATTTGTTGAAAGAACACGACCAAATAATTTGACAATAATAACAAACAATTACCACTAGAAAAACATACATTGGCTCACGCAACAATGGTCCGAAACCTGCCATAAATTCTGCCAAATTTCATCTTTTGAACCGAGAAACGTAATTAATTTAACCAAAAAAAATTGTACTTGAAATTTATTATTATTAGTACTATTAGTCATACTGATTTCTGTATTTTTAGTAATGTAATTAAGTGCAATGAGCAATGAGCTTGCAGAATTTCACATTTCAGCTTGAAAATATCTGAAAAATGTCTCAAAGGGTTTAGCGAATCCAAAATTTGCAGGAATGTGTAACTTGTGCTTAAACTGCGCTGATAGAAAAATCAAGTATTTTCCTAACGCACTAACCCAGCCCCTTCAGAGCGACTAAAAACACAACCGGTAGCAAATCGCCAACGCAAGACCAAAATTCTGAAAATTTCTCAAAATTCCCTCAACCTATTTAGAGCTTCCTAATTTTCCGTGTTGAACCATCAATGTCTGAACTATGCTGAGACTAAAACTAACTCCAGTTTCTACCTAGCGCAGTTTCATAAGGACAAATTAATACAAAAAGCATTGTAAAATTTCAGTACATCTTTTGAAAAATTTGCTAAATTTTTTCTAAATATTCAAAACTTCCAAATTTTCCTTGATGGACTACCCATGCTTGCTCTATGATGAGAATATAACTCACGTCTCTATCTAGCGCAGTTTCGTCAGGGCGAACCAAAATAGGAGCAATTGCAAAACCTCAACGCAACAGCAAATTATGAAAAAGTCTCAAAATTGTTTCTAAATATTTACAGTTTTCAAACTTTAACTAACTAACCTATGCTGAGAATGAAACTCAACTTTCTACCTGACGCAGTTTCATGAGGACGAGTTAATATAAAAGCTATTGCAAAATTTCAACCCAACACCAACTTTTGGAAAATTTTCAAAATTTTCTATAAATATGCAAAACTTCCAAATTTTTAATGATAAACCACCCATGTTTGCTCTATGACGAGAATATAATTAAAGTGTCTGTCTAGCGCAGTTTCAACAGGGCGAACCAAAATAAAATCGGTTGCTGAACTTCACCGCGACAGCAAATTTTTTAAAATTCTCAATGTTTTCTCTAAACATTTACAGTTTCCAAACTTTAAATTATGAAGCACCGATATCGAAACTATGCTGACGCAAAAACTCAAGTTTGTACGTAAAGCAGTTTAATCAGGGCGAATTAGAGAAAAAGCTGTTGCAAAACGTCGACGCAACACCAAATTTTGAAAATGTCTCAAAATTGTTTCTAAAGATTCACAGTTTTCAAACTTTCTGCGATAAACAACCCATGCTTCGTATGTGTAAAATTGAATTTCAAGTCTTCACCTAACGCAGTTCCAGCTGATTAATTGACTGTAACACCCATTGACAATAAATGGTGTAAATACTCCAATCAACTCTTCAGACAAGGCCACCCCAAACACCTGGCGTTTCTTGTCGTTTCGTTCGGTTTCTTTACATGTAAAGATGATTTTTTGTGGCAGTTCCAGGCTCCAACTTATTTCCACTTTCTTTCTACTTTCTCGAACCGAGCCCGCATTGGAACTACATTTGAAGCCCTAAACTGACCAGCACTATGTTTGCTATGCTTTTGTGGCCAGTTGCTAGTTGTGTCAATGCAACCAGAAAATGAGTAATTGATGAAAACGGTGCCTAAAGGCAGCTTGAATATTTCTGCCCCGCAAATGGTTGGTAAGTGTAGAAAAATCCAGCAAAGTTTTAAAAAATTAAGTTACTTACTTGCTCTAGCCAATGACCCCGTCAGCTTGACAGATAGATGTCAGACCATGCATGACAATCATGCTCACGGTTCAAATGCATGCGTCCAAAATTGCATGCTCCTATCGATGGAGAAAATGGCACTAAACCGTCAAGACAACGTTAGTTTTTCGCAAAATCCACAAAATCCTGCACAGAAGTGGCAAAAATTGAGTAGACAATTTGACAAAGCACTGATTGAATGACATGCAGGGTTGACGCGCTTTGAAAGCGGCTCAATCGATAAGTTAGCAGTAATTTGCTTGAAAACCTGTAAAACTGATAAGTAACACTTTTGAAGTGGGTGGGTTTCGCTGCATATGAATGAAGCTCATGTAAAATTGCCCGACGGGCAATTTAGCGAAAAAAAATGTTCTTTATATTGTTTTTATTTTCTAGATCAACTAATATTTTTACTCGATTTTTTTCAAACTCTGCAATTACTTCAAAGAGGGGCTTTTCTATTTACACCGAATAGAAATCCACCATATACCCGAAAGATTAGCATGAGATTACACCTTTTGATTATTTAAATATTTCCTCATAATAAAGTTGAAACACCGGCTCAAAGAGCGGGGCTGGGATTGGCTGGCCAAGTTTCTAGCGCAGCCATGTTCCCTACTTAGTGCGGATCAGGGGCGTATTGTCGTGTTAGGCTCCGCCCCATCCCTATCCCTTCTTATTGATAAGAATTGAATGACTGTGAAAATTCCCGCAAGTGCAAGTGTTCGAGTTGTAGTCATCCGAGTGATAAGTGCGTATCGAGTGAATTCGAACTGACACTTTTGGCGACATTAGTGCTTCAAGATGTATCACAATCCGCTTCAGCAGCCAGTGTCGGAGGGTTATTTTCCGACGAATTTTCGCGTTTTTGATGGGCGCATGCATATGGGGCTTCATCACATGGCCAGCAACGAAATGAGCCATGTGAGCAACGGTAATGTTCAGCCAAACTTTGGTTTTCCGAACGAAGACCTTTACTATTCAGGCCAACAGCACTTTGCCCACACGGTGCCTCATATCTCCTCCGTTGGCAGTTTCGAGCAAGAATATGCCTCGGAGGGCAGCCAAGGATCGTTGTCGCCTCAACAACCGATCCAGTCGCAACAGACCAATCTGAGTCCTTCCCCTAATAACAATACAAGTGCGTATAGTGCAAGTGGTGTCGTTCTCCAGAATAGTACGCCGTCGTCTCCAAATCCTTCAAAGCCTCCACAATATCCCTCAACGGGAGCACCACCCTTCTTGCGGTGTTATCCTCTAACACCGAATGTGAGTCAACACGAATGCACCCAACCGCATATTCCGCCCAGTTCCCGCTCGGGAGCCACTAGGAGTCCCTACGAATGGATCAGAAGACCCACGTATCAGAACCAACCTAATCCTGGTAAGCAGTGCTTAAACCCACTTGTTTCTTATGCTTGAATTGAAGTTAGTAGCCAATGAATAGTAGAATACGGTACAAGAGACGAAAGTCGAGTGTGGACATCAAGTTCAGTCTCAAAGTCGTTCAAATGGTCTATTTTTCTGCGCTCGCCGATGTAGCCACAAGCAAAACACGTGTTTCTTTTTAAATAGCGCAATTTTCATGCAAAATATGCATCTTATGCAAACATTAATTGTTTCACTTCTATTTGCTTACAAAAGTACGCTTTTGACAAATTACAAAATTACTTGACTTCTTCTCGGGTGTCAAACGCCGTCCTCCCGCACGACACTTTTCGCCGTTGTATCGAAAACTTCTATCTTGGAACGCCGATATGTGGATTTTACGCAGGGTTTTAACTTCGCCTGCTACAGTTTTATGTTAATTCAGTGGTTGCAAATCAATCCCGATTAAAACCCGTAGTGAATTGAGTCAAATTCACTGAAAATTTCGAGTTTTTCCATTTTTTAATTAACATTTTGGCTCGCACTATTTTGCCCAAAAATCGCTTTACATTCCTGGTGTCTACACTAATTTTTAAAACCTTGAAGAAGCTACACGTTCCCTTGATCTAAGTTGTAAATACGGCGGAGAAAACCTGAGAACGGAGGAAATTCGAAACTTTCCTCATTGTTTTTGGGCTATTTTGCATTAGCCGATCGCATGTAGAGTGTTTTGTTTGCAAAACCCAAAAGTGCGAAACTCCCCAAAAATTCCCATAACATTCCTTGTGTGGAAAGCACATGCTTAATATAACATTTTCGGATAAAATTCAATTTTTCCTGGTGGATTAAAAGGATTTGGATTTTGCCCTTTGCGTTCTGATCGGTTTTCTGCTCAGTTAATGGCTGCAACCCAATTTTGATTAAACCGCAAGCCGGATTGAGTCAAGTTTGCCTAAAATTTACTCATTTTTATATTTTAAGGTTAGCTTTTCACTCAGATTTATTGCCTTCCAAACCGCTTTAAATCCCTGGTGCGATTTTTTTAAATTTTCATAGAAGACGACAAAAACCCCTAAAGGCGGCCCAAATTCGAAACTTTTCCATTGATTTAAGGCTAGTTTGTCACATACATAGTGTTTAGTTTACCTAAAATCGCTTGAACCCTCGAGAACATTAAAATTTCGCTTGAGAGCCCTAGAGTAACAATCATTTTTCCCTTAATTAATTCAATGAAACGTTTGAAAAGTTCAAAATATGACAGAAAAGCTTGACGATGGCGCAAATTAGAAACTTTTCCTATCGATTTAAGGCTTTTTGGCACCAGCCGATCACTTAGAAAATGTTTAGTTTGCTTAAAAAATCGCATGTATAATCAAAGAACATAAAATTTCGCTTAAGACCTCTAGTGCGGAAAGCGCAAGCTTTTAAAATCTTTGGGCAAAATTCAATTTCTCTTTTGATTCGTTCAATGAAACGTTTTACGGCCCCAAACTTATTTTATTTGGTAAATGAAGGAATGAATATTTCAAAGGTTCCGCTTAGGTCATTTCACACAGGCTTTGGACTTTGCCTTGGCATTCTGAGCCGTTTTCTGCCCAATTAATAAATTCTGCAAATTAACTTTCATTCAACCATGAGATGGATTTATTCAAAATCTGCCTGCTTTTGCCTCTGTAAGCTAGCTTTTTCATTAACAATATTTTTCCCGAAAATCGCTTGAAATACCTAGTGGGTAACATGAGTTTCTGAGACATTTTCATTTTAAAGACACCGTTTTCATCGGTGTTCTTCCCAGGCTGTTGCTAAGAGCTTCAACTAAAAATGAAACGACGACAAACAAGTCTGGAGACTTTGAAACTTGTCCTTGACTTGACGAAGCTTGAGGGCAAAATTTGTCAGAAATCCGTTTAACTAGAAATGATTTCCACACTAGGGCTAGTGTGGAAATCACATGTTCATATATCGAAACAAAAACTGCATGAGAGGCGCAAAATTTATTCAATTTCATAGATTAAAGAGAACAGTATTTCACAGGTTCAGATTTACTTCACACAGGCTTTTGACTTTGCTTTATGCGTTCAGAAGAGTCTGGGCCCGTTTTATGTTAATATGATGGTTGCTAATGAGTTTCGATTAAACCGCAATGTGGATTGCGTCAAATTTACCGAAAATCTGTCCGTTTTTTATGTTTTTAAATCGATATTTTTGGCTAAGGTTTATGTCCTGAAAATTCGCTTTATAGCCCTAGTGTGGCAAATAACATTTGCACCTTAAACCAACGCCTACCATCTATACCAATATTAAAAGTCCGACTTAAGAATGCTCCTGAAGATGGCGCAAATTCGACACCTTCCGCATAGGTTTAAGGCTATTCTGAAACAGCAGACCGTGTGTAAAAATCCGCTTAACAGCCCTAGTGCGGAAAGCTCACGCTTGCCTCATTTTTGGGACAAAATTCAACTTGTCTTTTGATTCTTTTAAGTCTCTAAAAGTCTTTTTGAGATGCAAAACTTGTTCAGAATCAGATTCGGCTCCGCAAAAACGCCAAAAATCTGCAGGTTTTTGCATTTTGTAAATTATTCTTTCGCGTCTAACATGAAAAAATGGAAGAATTGTACACTAGGGTGGAAAGTTCAGCGTCAAAAGCCTCAAAGCTCAAAAACTTTATATTGAATCCACCTAAAATAACTAAAACGAGTGTTCGCTTTGCCCAAACAGGCTCATTAAATTCTTCGAAAACTCGCCTAACATCCCTAGTGCGGAAAGCACATTTTTATCACCCGTTTGCTCAAGACTCAATACTTTCTCGATGTTACCACTATAAACAGAACCTGTTTCAAGTGGAGTTTAAATACGCAAATGACAATATTTAGAATTCTCAAAGTGAATAGTTAATTCAAATTCCCTGGAGACCCGATATTAGTTACGACCACCCGCTTTTTACCATTCGATAAATTGATATTCAACGATGTCCAAATAATAGCAATTTAACGGTTTGACGACAAGACAAAAGAGTTTTCACTTGCATAATTCCCTCCCTCAGCAGAACATTATGATAGACAGCCCAAATTGGACGGACATTCCAGGTACAGAACCTTAAAAAGGCGTGTAGTAATTGAGTGGTTTGGAGGACAGAGTTAGAACTTAAAACTTATGCTTACGCTTTGGCTGGATTGCCAATATGTTGCCCAATAAATAAATCAATCCCTCCCAAGCACAGGTCTATTAAAATGGTAGTCAGTCCATAAATTTTATTGCTTTATGAAGTTAACCAGCCGTTTACTACTCGCGTAAAATCTATTTGCTCTACTAATATTAGTTTCTTCTAATTGTTGAATGCAAACTGAAGTGTTTTGGATTTTCTTTTCCATGGCAAATATTAAAACAGAATTGCAGTCAAAAACTCTACTTTTATAGAAAGGTTCATTCATAGAAAGGATGATGGAAATGGTTCCACTTACAAGACTGTCACAAATAAGGCTCAAGCCTTAAGCCCCGACTTCACACTTTTCATAGTAATTTAAAGCCGATGGATTGTTTTAAAATAGTTTTTTAATATCTAAATAAAAAATAATAAAAATTACTAACAGAGGGGATTTTTTTTTTGGAGAGAGAAAAGTGCCTAAGAAATGGCTTTTAACTTTTTGTGCAGATTTAACGTTAATTCCTCAAAAAAAGATAGTTATTTCTAATTAGAAGCTTCTTTGGATGGTAAAATGTGTTTTCCTGAAGTGGCAGACAAAATTGTCAATCTTTTTCACGAGTCTTAATACCGAAGTCCGAGGACCGGTCACAAATCCTAACTCTTGTTTGATGATGGCTCAAAATTGAAACTTAACAAATTGACTTAAATTAAGATAATCCTTATGAAAAATTGTTTTTTGTCCCAATTGTGATTTTGATTACTTCGCGATAAAACCGTTCAAAAAAATGAGGGAACTCACAGAAACTCAGTGTAAATGCCCTGATGGTAGTTGAATATCGAAACGTTCTAAACTAATTCAGTGGTGATTTCTCTAAAAAGTCACCCTTTGATCGCAAAACAGTGTTTCCAAAGTGACTCACACTAAAGTATTCTTAAAAATGCAGAAACTTGAAAAATAATTGCAACAAGCTTGATGATGACACAAACTCGAAACTTTCCAAATTAAGTCCCATTTGATTAGGCTTCTAAAAAATTGCTCTTTGCTTCAAATCGAAGCTCATTTAGTTCGGAAAAAACTCGAATTCGATTCGAAGATTTTTAAATTTGCTACACAATTTTTTCAAAGTGACTTACATTAATCTGTTCATAAAAATGAAGAAACTTGAAAAATCATTGCAACGAGCTTGATGATGATACAAACTCGAAACTTTCAAAATCCATTTCAGGGTGGTTCTTCAAAAAAATCGATCTTTGCTTCAAATCGAAGCTAGTAAAATGTTTTTTTTTTCAAAGTGACTCTCACTAAACTGTTTCTAAGAATGAGTAAACTAAGAAAATCAATGCAAAGAGCTTGATGATGACACAAAATCGAAACTTTCCATGTTAACTAAAAGCTGATTCTCCTCAAAAATTGTTCGAAGCTTCATTTCGAGGTTCGTTTCGTTAGTGAAAAGGTTTTCTTCAAAGAGACTCACTTAAACATTTCCATAAGAATGGGGAATCTAAAAAAATCAAGGCAAATAGCACAAGGTCAATTCTTCCCAATGGATTCAAATGGAATTTTTCAGAAAAAAACCATTTTATTCTCCAAATTTTGGGGCATATTTTGTTGGCAAAGCAGTTTTTCCAAAGATTCATACTAAACTGTTCATAAAAATGAAGGAACTTAAAAAATCAATGCAATAAGCTTAATGATGGCACAAAATCGAAATTTTCCATGGGGATTCCAAGTTGATCGTATCCTCTAAAAAATTGTTCATAGATTTAATTTGGAGCCCGATTAGTTCGTAAAAATGTTTTTTCTAAGGAACTCACGCCAAACTTTTCAGAAAAATGAAAAACCTTGAATTTAAAATTCAGAAATTTAAAAATTTAATGCAAATAACCTGAGGATGGCACAAAATGGTAACTTTCCATAGGAATTCAAAGCTGATTTTTCAAAAAAAGC